TCCAGCTGTTGCAGCCAACTGGGGAGTGAACCAGTGGATGGAAGACTTCTCTCTCTCTCTCTCTGCCTCTGACTCTCTGTAACTCTGCCTTTCAAATAAATAAATAAATATTTAAGAAAAAAAATAAGAAAATACATTGTGCCAAACATCTAAGTTTTTTTAAATTTTCAAGCTTATTATAGAATCTTGCTCCTTCGTGGAATAGGGTATATAAAACATTTGGGGTTTGAATTCCACGCCTATTTTTCAGATATCCTTCTAAACAGGATACATGATCAGGTTTCAAAGAAACAAAAGAAAAAAATGACTTCATAGAGTCAATGGTTCCCAGTCCACTTCCCAAGAAACTGGCTCTGGAACCATTTAATATGACACTGCGGCCTACCTATAGTAATACACCACTGACAGTACCCACCTTCAACACAGCATTTGCCAGCACGTGGGACAATGGAAAAAATGGATGCAAGTCTAGACAGCAAGGGACAAGGGCCCATGGCTGGCTCTTGGCTGAACCACTAGGTCTCAGGGTGAAGAAACACCCAACCAAGCCCAATTATTCATTTTACATCTGAAAATGAAATCAAGAGGCATGAGACTGATTGGAAAGGCATGCTTGTTTTAAAGAGTATCATGGGGGCCTGCGCCATGGCTCACTAGGCTAATCCTCCACCTTGTAGTGCCGGCACCCCAGGTTCTAGTTCCGGTTGGGGTGCCGGATTCTGTCCTGGTTGCTCCTCTTCCAGTCCAGCTCTCTGCTGTGGCCCGGGAAAGCAGTGGAGGGTGGCCCAGGTCCTTGGGCCCTGCACCCGCATGGAAGACCAGGAGGAAGCACCTGGCTCCTGCCTTCGGGCCAGCGCAGCGCCGGCCGTGGCGGCCATTTGGGGAGTGAACCAACAGAAGGAAGACCTTTCTCTCTGTCTTTCTCTCTCTCTCACTGTCTATAACTCTACCTGTCAAAATAAAAAATAAATTAAAAAAAAATAAAGAGAGTATCATGAAAATACCCATGTTTCAGACTATGGTGATCCAGAAAGTCACACATCTTGGTCACATTCGTGTTTAATCTTAAGTCATTGCTCTGTGTAATTTTTCTCTTTTTAGACGCCACCAGCACGGAGACGGCTCATATCACAGAAATTGTCAAGTGATATCTACAAAGGCCACTCCCATCAGAGGAGCATGCCTTGGTACCTGCATGCTCCCCTGCTCGGTTTGCCACAGGAGATTCGGTAGGATGGAGGGTGTTCCGTCACCCTGATTAAAGCCAGCAATTCTTGATGATGCCCACGCTTACTCTCAATTACCCTCAGGGCAGAACACTGCTTGACAGACTTCCACTCTGGAGACTAAGCCTCAGAGTCTTTTACTTCCTTCCCTAACCAGAAAACCAAAGAACAAACAAGCAGACTTTACAAAGTCCTACCCTCTGAACCCAGTGTTGAAGCAAAGATTATCATGATCATTTAGCAACACTTTGAAAACACCTGATTCAGCTTTCAATACTGAAGTTACATCTCACAACTGAATGAGTGGTCAGACAGCCAAAAGCCACGGTAATGACTGTGGCATGGTTAATCTTGAGAACTGGAGCTTGGCTTAGTACCACAAATTTCTTTGAAAATTCCAGTGCAGGCACCAGCCAGGAAGCCCAGCTTTGTGAAGGCTCCTGGTGCACGTGCCCTCCCTGCTGCCAAGATGCCCGAGAGGATCAGCTCTGCCGAAGGGGCAGCAAAGGAGGAGCCCAGGAGGAGGAAGCTGCCCCGGGGAAGCCGCAGGGAAGGATAAGTCATCAGACAAAAATGCAAACAAACAGGAGGAGAGGAGCAAAGGGAAAATAGGCCAAGGTGGCTCCCCAGGAAGCTAAAGATTAGCCTGCAGAAAACAGAGACAGTCAAAATGACGAGAGGCCATTCTCTGATGAAGCACAGGAGAAAGAAGTCTCCTTTCCTGTACAATCCAGAGGACTATTTTTATCAGCTATTTCGTAAATGCAAGTTTTTAGTAGCTCTAAAACACTTTTAAGAAGGAGGGAAGCCTACCTCGTCCCAATTTTTTAAGTGTAAACGATTTTTTTAAAAAGAGGTGAAATCATTTACTGGTTTATTTTTTGGCACAACCAGAAAATAGTGGGATATTGAATTATGGGAGGGAGGCTTTGACTCTCTTGGGTGTTAACGCTAACATCCCATAAGGGCTAGTGGTTTTTATATTCTACAATACAACGCATACCAAATGACAATTTGGAGTCTCAATTGTGCATTTAATCTGTCTTGAATGTTTTCAGTTACTTCTCCTGTGTTGTTTAGTAGAACTGTTTCCTACAGAAAACCTCTCCTTGTTGCTGTGTGGGAACCATGTGTGCTCTGTAACACCTTTGGTTGTGGGAGTCCAGTTTTCATAATGATTTTGTTCATGTACTGTGAAAGACTGAAAATTTGGGTATGTTGTGTATGTGATATTAAATTGTGACTGCGTGGGATTTACGTAACAGCAACCTTTGAAGATACTGGTACTTGATAGCCTCTTAAGAAAGAGCTGCCTCCAAATTTGAAGCTGGAAAGTCACTGGAATAACTTTTAAAAAAATAAAAGAATGACAATTCATGGCTTCTTAGATTTTCAGTACTCATATTAAGAATTGTGCACAAACTGAAATGTCTGTGTACTGATTCTCAACATCAATAAAATCTCAATTATGGGGAAAAAAGCCGACTGCAGAACCCTGGGATCCTGGACATTCACAGATTCAGGATCAGAGAGGGCCACAGTGTTTCATCTCAGGATGCACTACAACTGCCACACTAACTGAAACCTTGGCCAACTCCAACTCTTCCATGTCACTGAAGCCTTGGAAGGCTAGAAAGCTCGCTCACTCTCTCTCTCTTTTTATTTTTTTTAAGATTTTAGTTATTTGCAAGTCAGAGTTAAAGAGCGAGAGAGAAAGAGAGAGAAAGAGGGAGGGAGGGAGGGAGATATCTTCCATCTACTGGTCACTCTCCATACAGCTGCCATGGCCAGTGCTTAGCCAGGCTAAAGCCAGGAGCCTAGAACTCCATCCAGGTCTCCCAAGTAGGTACAGGGGCTCAAGCACTTGGGCCATCTTCCGCTGCTTTCCCAGACTATTAGCAGGGAGCTGGATCAAACTCTAATCGGTGCCCATATGGGATGCCAGTGTCACAGGTGGCGGTTTCACCTGCTACGTCACAACTCCAGGCCCTAAAAAGCTCTCTTCAAGAAAAGAGAATCACTGCTTCTAGACTAAAAAGCAACTCTTAAAAGCATGACTCTGAAGCAATGACTCTTCATGAACTGATTAAGGTTTGTGGTTTCCCCCCTATGACTTGACTCATTCTCATTCCAGTCTTCAAGGAAGGGGAGAATATAGGCATGATAGTTTTATAAGAGCTCAATTGCAATCTCTCTTCTCTTTCTGCCTGTCAAATGAAATGAAGATAAATAAATAAATTTTAAATGAAAATAAGAAAGGAGTGGGTGTTTGGTTGAATGGTTAAGACGTGGCTTAAGTTGCTCATATCCCATATCAGAGTGTGAAGTTCCAGTCCTAGCTCCACTCTGAAGTCCAGCTTCCTGCTAATGCACACCGTGGGAGGCAGCAGGTGATGGCCCAAGTACTTGGGTCCCTCTTACCCAGAGGGGAGACCTGGGTGGAATTCCAGGCTCCTGGCTTTGGCCTGGTACAACCCCAGCTACTGCAGACAATTAGGGAATGGATGGAAGTTCTCTCTTCTGTATGTCTGTCTCTGCCTTTCAAATGAAATGAAAATAAATAAATACTGCAAGTGAGATCCCAGTAGAAAAGAACGGGCCATCAAAGGAGGAGGTAACTTTCTCTGAAGGGAGGAGAGAACTTCCACTTTGACTATGACCCTGTCTGAATAAGATGGAAGTCAGCGAACTCAAGAGGCTTCCATAGCCTTGGAAACTCATGACTAGAGCCTAGAGATATTTCTGACACCATAAATAAGAGTGTCAAATTGTTAAGTCAACAACAGGAGTCACTGTGTACTTACTCCTCCTGTGGGATCTCTGTCCTTAATGCGTTGTCTAATGTGAATTAATGCTATAACTAGTACTCAAACAGTATTTTACACTTTATGTTCTGTGTGGGTGCAAACTGATGAAATCTTTACTTAATATATACTAAATTGATCTTCTGTGTATAAAGATAATTGAAAATGAATCTTGATGTGAATGGAATGGGAGAGGGAGCGGGAGATGGGAGGGGTGCGGGTGGGAGGGAAGTTATGGGAGGGAAGTTATGGGGGGGAAAAGCCATTGTAATCCATAAACTGTACTATGGGAAATTATATTTACTAAATACAAGTTTAAAAAAAAAAGAAAATAAATAAATAAAAATTTAAAACAGCTCAACTGCAGTTTTGCCATTTTGGATACTCATGAGGATAAAAAGCAGTATTCCAAATATATTTATTGAGGAAATGAAATTACCATATCCTAAAAGAGCTTTCACTCAATAGTTTATACAAATTATATTATCTATTCAAATAGATACAAATTATTATACTTTGACACAGTTTATAAACATTTGTTAATAAATGATCCTTTCTCTCCCTGATTATAATGCTAGCTTAACATCTATTCATTAAACAACAACAACAACAAAAAGATGGCTTTATTAGCTTCATAGTGAGACAGTTCAGTGAAATGAAGCCTTAAGTATATAATAATAATAATATATAAAGCAGTACAATTGCAACTTCCAGTTAATTATAGGCTTCAATCCTGTGCTAACTGAATTACACCAGAATTCCTGAGACATAGCATCTGTATACAGTTCTTACATAAATATGCAGAACGTTGGAAAAGCATGGTATTTTCAATTTGAGGACACTATTTCCAGATATAACATTTAGGACAGGTTCCAATGAAACAAACATATAAATCACATCCATTACAAATACCAAGAATAATTATTTAATATTTTAGGAAAAAACTACTTACAAGAGACAATATACTTACAAGAGATAGCAGCAAACAGAACAGGTCACCAACATGGTGATGATAACTCTAAAAAAGAAAAAAACAAACCACACACATGTCAGATAACTAGCACACTATGCAGGCACTGTAGAATGGTTTCAGTCCCCTCTGGAGTTATCAAACTGGCATGGACTGTGCACCAAGAAAGTGACTCTGAATTTTTTCAGACATTCAGTAAACTGCCATGTGTTCAGGGTACACTTGGTAGAAACCTAACTATGCAATGAAACATTTCTATTTAAAAGACTATGGATTTCAGGAACCAGTGCTGTGGTGTAGCAGGTCAAGCCACAGCCTGCAGTGCCGGCATCCCATATGGGCACTGGTTCTAGTCCTGGCTGCTCCATTTCCAATCCAATTCTCTGCTATGGCCTGGGAAAGCAGTAGAGGATGACCCAAGTCCTTGGGCCCTTGCACCCACGTGGGAGACCTGGAAGAAGCTCCTGGCTCCTGGCTTCAGATCAGCGCAGCTCCAGCCGTTGCGGCCAGCTGGGGTGTAAACCAGCAGATGGAAGACTTCTCTCTGTGTTAACTCTGACTTTCAAGTAAATAAACAAATCTTTAAAAAAAAAAAAAAAAAAAGACCATGGATTGCATAGTGGGTAAAGCTGCTGCCTGCAGTGCTGGCATCCCATATGGGCACCGATTTGAGTCCTGGCTGCTCCTCTTCCAATCCAGCTCGCAGCTGAAGATGGCTGAAATCCTTGGGCCCCTGAACCCATGTAGGAGACCTGGAAGAAGTGCCTGCTCTTGGTTTGTGCCTGGCCTAATCTTTACCACTGCAGCGGAACCAGCGGATCGAAGACCTTTCTTTCTCTCTCTCTCTCTCTCTCTCTCTCTACCTCTGCCTCTACTTCTCCTTAACTCTTTCAATATATAAATAAATTTTTTAAAAAGATTTCCGGCCGGCGCCGCGGCTCACTAGGCTAATCCTCCGCCTAGCGGCGCCGGCACACTGGGTTCTAGTCCCGGTCGGGGCGCCGGATTCTGTCCCGGTTGCCCCTCTTCCAGGCCAGCTCTCTGCTGTGGCCCGGGAGCGCAGTGGAGGATGGCCCAGGTGCTTGGGCCCTGCACCCCATGGGAGACAAGGAAAAGCACCTGGCTCCTGGCTCCTGCCATCGGATCAGCGCGGTGCGCCGGCCGCGGCGGCCATTGGAGGGTGAACCAACGGCAAAGGAAGACCTTTCTCTCTGTCTCTCTCTCTCTCTCACTGTCCACTCTGCCTGTCAAAAAAAAAAAAAAAAGATTTCCATCCGCTGGTTCACTCCCTAAGTGACCACAACAGCCAGAGCTGGGCTGATCCAAAGCCAGGAGCCAGAAGCTTTTTCCAGGTCTCCCCCATGAATACAGGGGCCCAAGGACTTGGGCCAACTTCTACTGCTTTCCCAGGCCACAGCAGAGAGCTGGATCAGAAGAGGAACAGCTGGGACACAAACCGGTGCCTATATGGGATGTCAGCAGTGCAGGTGACAGCTTTACCTGCTATGCCACAGAACCAGCCCCATAAATAAATCTTTAAAAAAATTAAAAATAGAGACTGGTGCTGTGGCACAGTAGCTTAATCCTTCACCTGCAGTGCCAGCATCCCATATGGGCACCAGTTTGAGTATCAGCTGCTCCTCTTCTGATCCAGCTCTCTGCTATGGCCTGGGAAAGCAGTAGAAGATGGCCCAAGTGCTGGGGTCCCTGCACCTGAGTGGGAGGCCCAGGAGAAGCTTCTGGCTTCTGGCTTCAGATCGGTTCAGCTCTGGCTGTTGTGGCCATTTGGGGAGCAAAGCAGCAGCTGGAACATCTTTCTCTCTGTTTCTCTCTCTCACTATCTAACTCTACCTCTCAAATAAATAAATAAAATCTTTTAAAAAAGCAAAAATAAAGAAATTCTTAAAAAAAAAAAAAAAGACTATGAATTGATGCCACAGCTTAAGTGCCCAACTCAAACTCATCTGAAACTGAACAGAAAAGGTTGCAATGACAATGAGGGTTTTATTTTTAGGTTTTTCTTTTCTTTCAAATTTATTTTTGTTTTATTTGAAAGGCAAAGTGGCCGGCGCAGTGGCTCACTAGGCTAATCCTCCACCTTGCAGCGCTGGCACACCGGGTTCTAGTCCCGGTCGGGGCGCTGGATTCTGTCCCGGTTGCCCCTCTTCCAGGCCAGCTCTCTGCTGTGGCCAGGGAGTGCAGTGGAGGATGGCCCATGTGCTTGGGCCCTGCACCCCATGGGAGACCAGGATAAGTACTTGGCTCCTGCCATCGGATTAGCGCGTTGCGCCGGCCGCGGCGGCCATTGGAGGGTGAACCAACGGCAAAGGAAGACCTTTTTCTCTGTCTCTCTCTCTCACTGTCCACTCTGCCTGTCAAAAAAAAATAAATAAATAAAAGAAAGAAAATAGAAAAAGAAAAAAAAAAGAAGAAAGGCAAAGTGACAGAGACAGACAGGGAAGGGGAAGGGGAAGGAGAGGGAGGGAGGGGGAAGGAGAGGGAGAGTGAGGGAGAGAGAAGGAGAGGGAAAGGGAGAGGGAGAGAAGGGGAGGGAGAGAGGCAGAGGGAGAGGCAGACACAGAGCATAGGGAGAGGGAGAGGGAGATCTTTAAGCTGCTGATTCACACCTCAAATGCCCACAATAGCTGGGGATGCACCAGGCCAAAGTCAGGAGCTTGGACCTCAATCCTGGTCTCCCATGTAGGCGGCAGGGACACAGTGACCTGAGCCCCATTACTTGCTGCCTTCCCAGGCATTAGCTGGGACTCGGACCCAAGCACTCTGATATGGATGTGAATGTCCCAAGCAGTGCCCTAACTACTGTGCAAACATCCACCCTCTAATGAGTAACTACCTTATCTGGTAGTATTCTTGGGAGTAACACCGCAATTCTACTAAACACATCACTTTCTAGCCCATCTCCACTCACATCTGGAAGAGTTCCCCCTGGATCTCTGAAAAGCTAGATTTCACCACTTCTAAAACTGAATTCACGGCAGTCTCTTCCCATCTCTCCAAAAGCTCCCTTTCTGCAACTCCTACTCCCCAGCAGCAGCGCTATTTCTACTCATCCAATCCACCTTCAAATCTATCATCTTTTGCTCCTGCCTCCTCTGCACCCTCACAGTCACCAAATGCTGCAGATTTGTCCTTTGAAGCATCTTCCCCCAACAAGGTGTTTTTTTTGTTTTTTTTTTTTTTTTTGCTTTCCACTGCTGGCAGATTCAAAACGTTTTTCTTTCTCTTTCATTCTACACAAAACTATTCAGATGAACCTTTCCACTGCATTCCTTTCATGACATCACTCTTCAACGTAAGACTTTTCTATTTTTTTAAAAGATTTATTTTATTTATTTGAAAGGCAGAGTTTACAGAGAGAGGTAGAGACAGAGAGAGAGTGGGGGGTGTGGTGGGGGAGAGATCTTCCATCTGCTGCTTTACTCCCCCAAATGGCCACAACAGCTGGAGATGGACCAAGAGGAAGCCTGGAGCCAGGAGCTTCTTCTGGGTCTCCTGCATGGGTGCAGGGGCCCAAGAATTTGGTCCATTTTCCACTGCTTTCCCAGGTGCATTATCAGGGAGCTGGGTTGGAAGTGGAGTAGCCGGGACTCGAACCAGTGCCCATATGGGATACCAACGCTGCAGGCCAAGGCTTTAACCCGCTGCACCACAGCACAGGCCCCCAACTTCAGACTTTACAAAGGCAACTTGTTACCCACAGGAAAGAGGAGCCTCCAAGCCCCAGGGAGTGAATAAGACCACCTTCTGGAACTTGGAAAGCAAATATTGGAACTCACATTATATAGGTCACCCTTTAGAAGTAGCTTAAGTTTTCCATAGCTAACATATTGGCATATTCATTCAACTGAGTATCCTGTATGTATCAAGCTCCAAGGCAAGAGCAGGAATAAAATGGATCAAATCCCACCAAAGTTTACATACTATTTGGGGAAACAGACAACAAACAAGATGAACAATAAACAAATAATAACTGTCTATCATCCATATGCCAGTAAGTGGTGATGGAGAATAAAGCAGGAGAGGAAGATAAGGTACACAGGGGTTGGAGGGTGCAGCAGAATCTTAATGAGGCCTTGCGGAGGAGGTGGCATTCAGTGCAGACCCTAAGCGGTCAAGGGTGCTTCCCGGGCAGTGGAGGAGGAAGCACGGAGACCTGAGATGAGAGGGCACCAGCATTCACGGAAAGAGGTCAGTGTGGCTGAAGCCGAGCAAGGGCAGCTGAGTAGTAGGAGGGGAGGAAAAAGGTGTCCGGTGGGACACCTGCTGTTACCCTATGTGAAAGGGAATTATGTGGATGGATTCAAGGAGGGGGCAAGATGGATTCAAATTCTAATAAGATCTCTCAGGTAGCTTGGAAAAGACTGGCAGAGCAAAGGGGAAAATCAGTTACATCAGTTCAGGGAGGAACTGGCATAACCCACAAGGGAAGGTTGGTAGCAGTGAAGGGAGTAAGGGTGGGTAAGAGTTTAGATATATTTTGAAGGCAGATTCTTTAAAATCATAATGTATACATTATACTTATATAAATAAATATGTATGAAAGTTTATGGTAAAAAAAAACATTGACAGTTGCATAATAAAAATGTTTGCCAGAATCAAAGCCGGCTCCTCCCTCGTTATGAATTCCCTCCCTAACTCGCTTCACCTCCCCCACCATCAACCCTTCAGTCCTGAAGGCAGGCACCCTCACTGTTCCCCAAAACTCAGCTTCTTTGTGAGTCTCAATTCCAAGCTTTTTGCTCATCTTCCGCTTTTACATGCACCAACCTAGCATCCCTTGCCACGGTCTTCTCTCTCCCCCAAGAGGTCAGCTCACAGAGCTGAAGCAGCCGAGGCACCTTGGTGTTACCTGGCTCATATGAAAGCTGCCTCGGAAAATAATCGGCTCCAAACATCTGTCTTCTTAGGAGGTGCATGCCCAAGAATTTATAGGGAATGTGTCACAATGACTGCAATTTATTTTCCAATGCCTCAGCAAAATTCTATACACACACACACACACACTCAAAAAGGAGACATGAATATGTTAACTGTTACTGAATCTAAGTGATGGTATACGGCACTCATTTGATAACTCTTTCCACTTTCCTGTATATCTGAAAATGTTGATAAAAAAAACCTCAGTTCCCAGCACACTATCCTCTTCCCCACCCTCCACATCTACTGGTAAGGGAGCCAAGTTGAAAAAACTTGAAGCTTTCAAAGAATCTATGGTGGAGCCAGCTATGGTGTAGTGGGTAAAGCTGTCGCCTGCAGTCCCGGCATCCCAAAAGGGCGCCCATTCGAGTCCCGGCTGCCCCACCTCTGATCCTGCTCTCTGCTATGGCCTGGGAAAGCAGTAGAAGATGGCCTAATCCTTGTACCTCTGGACCCATGTGTGAGACCAGAAGAAGCTCCTGGCTCCTGGTTTCAGATCAGCACTGCTACTGGCCACTGTGGCCATTTGGGGAGTGAACCAGCAGATGGAAGATCTCGCTCGCTCTCTGCCTCTCTGTAACTCTGTCTTTCAAATAAATAAATACTTTAAAAAAATCTATGGTATCCTAAAGAAAAACAGGTAAGTCAAGAAAAACAGGAATGGTCAAGAAAGCTGACTCCAGGACACTCTTGACTTCACGCTGCTCACTTTCAGTTGCAGGGCAGACTGAAGAGCCAGGGGCTTGCTTTGGGCTATCCATGCAGTCAGAAGAATTCACCCTTTTGCCCTGTTCTCCCTGCCTCACTAGGTCCTGACAACCTCCCAATCACCCAGTTTTCAGCTTTTTGCTGTGCAGTCTCTCAGTGACGAGGATATAACATAAAAGTATTCTTCATATGGCTGCCACGCGGGTCACCCACATAGCATACTGGAGTACAGGTCAAGTCCCAGCTGCTCCACTTCTGATCCAATTTCCTGATAATGCACCTGGGAGGCAGGGGGTGATGGCCCAAGTCCTTGGGTCCCTGCCATCCAAGTCGAAGACCTGGATGGAGCTCTTGCTCCTGGCTTGGCCTGGCACAGCTCTGGCTATTATAGCTATCTGGGAGTGAACCAGCGGATGGAAGCTCTGTGTGTGTGTCTCCCTCTCTCTATCACTCTGCCTTTCAAATAAACAAATAAATAAATCTATTTTTAAAAAAGCATTCTTTAGGGGCCAGCTCGTGGTTCAGTGGGTTAGGCCACTGCTTGTGACAGTGGCATCCCCTATCAGGGTGCTGATTTGAGTCCCAACTGCTCCACTTCCAATCCAGCTCCCTGCTGCTGCACATGCGGAGGCAGCAGAAGACAGCCCAAGTACTTGGGCCCCTGCTTCCCACATAGGAGACCTGGATGGAGTTCTGGGCTCCTGGCTTTGGCCTGGACCAGCCCCAGCCTTGCAGACACTTAGAGAATGAACCAGCAGATGAAGATGTCTAAGATCTCTCTCTCTCTTTCTAATAAATAAATAAACCTTAAAAACAGTATTGTCTATACCTCTTCTCATAGTTCCTTTACTTATCTCCTTCAAGATGTGTGGGGCCAGCATTGTGGTGTGGTAGGTTAGGCCTCTGTGACACCAGCATCCTCTGTGGGTGCTTGTTCCAGCCCTTGCTAATAGCCTGGGAAAGCAGTGGAGGATGGCCTAAGTGCTTGGGCCCCTGCACCCATGTGGGGGACCCAGAGGAAACTTCTGGCTCCTGGCTTCTGTCTGGCCCAGTTGCAGCCATTTGGGAGTGAACCAGTGGATGAAGGATCTGTGTGTGTGTGTGTGTGTGTGTGTGTGAAAAGCAGACTTCTGCTTTTCAAACAAAACATAAATCTTAAAAAAAAAAAGAAAAGAAAACAGTGTGTGAATTCCTCAAACCAGAAACGTTCTCTTGCATTTAAAATTCTCCACACTCCTTGCAGTGGTTCCGCTCCTTCATGTATTTCACAAGAGCATAATCTGCTCTATTTTCAGGAGGTAAAGGGGAACTAGTCCTAATTCAGTGCTAATATTTCCATTTTACAACCAGGAAATGGGGACATGGAAAAGTTAAGTAAACTGTCCAAGGTCACAGGGATCATCTACCCTGCAGCAGTGTCCTGAAGTGTAATCCAGCAACTCCTGGGAGCACAGTTTCGAGGTCTGCTCCACCCTGCCAAGAGTGGGAAACCCGAGCATTGCTGCGGAGCCTGGGAACCGGGCCCAGGTAACATATCACTAGCAGGTCAGACACTGCGACCATTACATGCCGGCTAGAAACTGAGTACAGACACAGGGGGTTTCACTGCCCAGAAAACAGCAGCGCATCCGCTCCCCTGGATGGGGAGGGAGCAGTCTGTAAGAAAGCATATTAATAAATGCTTTTCTGGGTATGAAGGCCAGCCAGGCAGGCAGTGAAGTAATGAAAAACTCAACAAAGTTCTCTAACTCCAAAAGGAAAAACAAGTCTAATTACATATGGTTAATACAAAAGTTGTTAAATTTTAATAACCCCAGGATTCTGATACTCCCTACATCAACTACTATAGACTGGAGAGGTGACCTCACCTAACTGCAGCTATGGGGCAGAGGTGGGACCTAGCGCTGACAAATGACACAAATTTTTTGGCCATTTTTCCTTGTTGAAAAATGCATCATTTATTTGGGGGCTAAAAGAAGTAACAGGTATGAGGGAAGCACATTTCAGAGAGGAAAAAGAAGTTCAGGTCACACAATATAAAGGAAGTAATAAAACTTCTTTTCCATTAATAAAGGCAATAGAACTATCCACTTAGCAGACATTGGTGGTTCCCACACAGGCAAAAGTACTGTGCACGCAGGCACTAGGAATTTGTTTCCAGAGATAGTGTTTCTGACAAACTGTGACTTCAGTCCAAGTTCCAGCCCACATGATCTTGAGCAAAAGAAGGAACTGGAAAGCGTTCCAAAGTTTCCTCAAACAAGGTTCTAGTTTATAAAATGATAAAAAAAAATTCTTTTTCTACTTCCCAAACAAAGCTCTAACAAAGAAATCCCTAAAAAAATCCGTAAAAAAAAAAAAAAATACCCACCTTCCTTAGTCAATCATACTTAAGCACTGCACACTCGTGCCCAGGAGCTGGAGCGCCCTCCCGAAGGTATGACGCAGGGGTTTCTAAACAATACCTTCTGCTCCTGGGTAATTAACCTCGCCTTAGATCAGGCCCCAGCTACCTCCGGGCGCCCGCTGGGTGCAAGGCCTGGGCTCCGTGTCGTTGGACCAGCTTGTTCTGAACGCAACTACGACGGCACGGGGACCAGATTTATTTATTTTATCTTTTTTCTTTATAAAGTTGAGGCAAGCCAGGCCTCTTGTACGTGGGTGGCAGGCGGGGCTACAGGGGCCAGAGTCTATTCCGGGAGAACCCCAACTTCTCCCGGAGTCGGTATAAACTCAGTTTAGACTGCACCCTCCCCACACAGGAGCAGGATGAGGAAAAACTCCCCTCAAACTCGTTTCCAAGGAGAGCCTGCCGAAGGTCACCTCTTCAGGCTCGAGCCGGGGGATTCGGAAGTTGCTGCGATTACGAAGACAGAGGACCCCACGGGGGTCGGGAGCCGCCCTGTGGACCGAGGGGCATCCCCGCAAGGTCCTCCGACAGGCGCAGGGGTCGCCCCCTCCCGCGCCCGCCGCTCGCCGCGCGTCCCCCCACGCTGGGCCTAGCGCACTTACCCCCGGTTGGGACCCTTGGGAATGAACCAGGGAACAAGGAAGCCGACGAAACCCCAAAACACGCTCATCACGATGAGAGGCACCGTGAGCCCGTGATACGCCATGGTCGCCGCCGGAGATGCCAACCCCTGCCCCGCCGCCTCACTTCGGTCCCACCCGGAAGTGTCAACCCCGGACCGCGTGACCAGCGCGCGCAAAGCCCCGCCTCCTCAACCCCACGTGACTCGCGCGCTGGACTCCGCCCCTCCAGGGTCAGAGACCGCCCAGGCCTCTCTGGCTCGCGGTAAGGCCCGGCCAAGGTTGCAGTTCCCGGAGGCGCCGCAACGTTTTCTGGTAAGAACGTAAACCCTTTTAGAAAAAGAGTGTAGTTATTTACAGCTTGATTTACTTAAATTTTTAAAAAATTTATTTTCATTTTTTAAAAAGATGTATTTATTTAAAAGGCAAAGTAACAGGGAGAGACAGAGAGGGGAAGAGACAGAGAGAGAGAGAGCTTCCATCCACTGGTTCACTCCCCAGATGGCCACAAGGGTCGGGTCTGGGCCAGGCTGAAGCCAGAGCCAGGTGCCAGGGTCTTGGATCGCCCAAGTGGGTGACAGGGACCCAGGTACTGGAAATATCACCTGATATTTCCCAGGGTGCACATTACCAGGAAGTCAGAATCGGAAGTGGAGCCAAGAGTAGAACCCAGGCACTCCTAAAGGGGATATGGGTGCCCTAACCACTGTTCACTACTTTTTTTTTTTTTTTTTAAGATTTATTTTACTTATTTGAAAGAGTTACAGAGAGAGGTAGAGACAGAGAGTGGTCTTCCATCCACTGGTTCACTCTCCAAATGGCCGCATCAGCCGGAGCTGAGCTGATCCGAAGCCAGGAGCCAGGAGCTTCTTCTAGGTCTCCCACGCGGGTGCAGGGGCCCAAGGACTTGGGCCATCTTCTATTGCTTTCCCAAGCCATAGCAGAGAGCTGGATTGGAAGAGGAGCAGCCATGACTAGAACCGGCACCCATATGGGATGCCAGTACTGCAGGTCAGGGTGTTAACCCGCTGTGCCACAGCGCCGGTCCCTGTTCACTACTTCTAATGCAGCATATAGAGAACTTGACAATAATAAGTCAGGATTCCAATGAATTCCTATGTGCCAGATGTGGAGGTATCAGCTTTAAGTTGCACTCCTCACTACAGCCTATGAGTAGTATTAATTATTATCTCCAGTTTAAAGTTGAAGAAAGTATGAGGCTGGTGCTATGGCATAGCAGTAAAGCCGCTGCCTGCAGTGCCGGCATCCCATATGAGCTTGGGTTCAAGTCCCTGCTGCTCCACTTCTGATGCAGCTCTCTGCTATGGCCTGGGAAAGAGTAGAAGATGGCCCAAGTCCTTGGGCCCCTGCACCCACGTGGGAGACCTGGAAGAAGCTCCTGGCTCCTGGCTTCGGATCGGCCCAGCTCTGGCCGATGCGGCCATTTGGGGAGTGAACCAGTGGATGGAAGACCTCTCTCTCTGCCTCTGCCTCTCTGTAACTTTGCCTTTCAAATAAATTTATAAAATAAATAAATAAAGTTGAAGAAGGTGAGGCTCAGGGAGGAGATTAAGGATCTGGCCCAAAGTCACATAGTAACTGTCCCGGGCCAGGATTCAACCTCGAGTGCTGCAGTTTTTCAGGACCAGAGCCCTTAACCACTGCACTTTATATCGTGTGCACTGGGCAGCTGCTGGGGCAATAGAAGTCAGTGAGGGGCTTCACGTATCAGAAACTCGGTTCAGGTCCACACTCTGCTTCTGATTCCAGCTTCCTGCTAATGTGCATCCCAGGAAGCAGCAAGTGAGGGCTCAAAGTGTTTGAGTCCCTGCCACCCACGTGGGAGGCTCAGAGTTCCAGGTCCCTAACTTCACCCTGTCCCAGCCCCAGCTGTTGCAGGCATTTGGAAACAGTGATGGGAGCTCATTCTCTGTTTCTTTCTTTAAAACAAAACAAACAAACAAACAAAAACACCACGAAAACAAACCTCCTAAGTCTGTTAGCCCTCAGGGAATTCACATCTTGGAGGTGCAAACTGGCCTCTCAGTGTAGGGTGAAGGAGGGTGGCTGATCCTGCACAGTGTGCACACCAGCCAATCCCCAGCCAGGCTTTGCAAGAGGAATAGGAAGCAGGCTGAGTACTGAAGAGAAGATCGATGTGGATTGGATAGTAGTTTGGCTGTCCTCAGAGGCCCTCATGTTAAAAGCTTGGTTCTCAAAATCTTCTGTTAATAGTTAATGGATTAATGTTAATAGTTTTTTTAAAAGATTTATTTATTTATTTGAAAGGCAGAGTTACAGAGAGGCAGAGAGAGAGAGAGAAAGAGAGTCTTCCATCTGCTGGTTCACTGGGCCAATCTGAAGCCAGGAGCCAGGAGCTTCTTACAGGTGTCCCACGTGGGTGCAGGGGCCCAAGGACTTAGACCATCTTCTACAGCTTTCCCAGGCCATAGCAGAGAGCTGGATAGGAAGTGGAGCAGTCGGGACTCGAACCAGTGCCCATATGGGATGCCGTCACTGCTTTATCTGCCATGTCACAGTGCCAGCCCCTAACATTAATAGCTAATGGATGAGGGGTCGGCACTGTGGTATAGTGGGTAAAGCCATCACCTGCAGTGCCAGCATCCTGTGTAGGCGCCAGTTCAGGTCCCGGCTCTCTACTTAAGATCCAGCTCTCTGCTATGGCCTGGGAAGGCAGTGGAGGATGGCCCAAGTGCTTGGGCCCTGCACCTGCGTGGGAGACCAGGAAGAAGCTCCTGGCTCCTGGCTCCTGGCTCCTGGCTCCTGGCTCCTGGCTTCGGATCAGTGCAGCTCCAGCTGTTGTGGCCAATTGGAGAGTCAACCAGCGGAAGACCTCTCTCTCTGCCTCTCCTCTCTGTGTGTAACTCTTTTAAATAAATAAATAAAAATCTGGAAAAAAAAAAGAAATCAGACTGTCAAGGAGATACGTGGAGTCTCTTGTTTATTGCAGCACTGTTCACAATGTTCAGAATATGGGTGTAACCTAGATGTCTATGCAGATGAAGGGATAAATAATATGTGCTGTATAATATATACACAATGGAATATTATTGAGCCATTAACAATGAAGTTCTGATATGTGCAGCAACATGGATGGAACAGAGGATGTCATATGAAGTGAAATAAGCTGGACACTAAAAAACAAATAGTACACGTCCTGCTGCGTATGTGGAAGACTTCAAAAGCAGACTGAGAGCAGGGTAGTGGTCGCTAGATAGTGGGAGGTTGGATAAGGGGTACCAAACACAGTTAGCCAGGGGTACTAAGTCACAGTGGGCGACTCTAGTTCACAATAACCCGTTAGTCATTTTATGAAGAACCTGGAAGGGAGGAAATGACAAGGAAATAGAAATGCCTATTACCCTGATTTGAACAGTGTGTATGTATTGAAATATCACGCTGAACCCTAGAAATGCATACAATAGTGTTATATTGTATGTATGGCATATACCACAGTTGATTGACCCATTCATTCACTGAGGGACATTTGGGTGGCTCCCACCTTTTGGCTAGCCTGAATTCTTTCCCATTTTTAAAATAAATGCAAATGTTTTCTCTGAAGTTAACCTTTTGAGTAGCCTCTACCCTTTCCGTAACCTTCCAGGAAATCTCTTGAAGAAGCAGATGTCCCTGGCTCTTCAGACACTGGTTCTGTTAAATCTGTCTGTTTTATCCTCCATGGAATGAGAGGTATATTTGTGGGCCAGTATTGACCAACAGCTCCCTCTATCAGCCAATTGGCCAAAAACATTTTATCACAGGTGTCTAAGGAAAACTATGGGTGAGGTCCACCCATGGGGCCCACCCCATGTAAAAATGTTCTCTGCCCTCAAGGTGCTTAAAGTTGTTGAGAAATAAGTCACTCTGGCCAGTGTAACCCAAAGGCACCTGGGGAGTCCCTGAGTCTCTCCCAGCAAGTCTGGGGAGCCCCTCCATTCCAGGTAGTTTAATAGAAATTGCAAGAGGCCCTTGTTTGGGACTAAGCACCAGCACAGACCATGCTAAAAATCAGATGGAGTCACACTGACATTATATGCTGCTAAGCCCAAACTCAACAGTTTATCTGCATGGCCAGGAAATCAGGATGAGGGCCAGTGTTGTGCAGCAGGATAAGCCACGGTCCATGACCCAGGCATCCCATATCAGAGCACCAGCTCAAGTCCCAGCTGCTCCACTTCCCATCCAATTCCCTGCTAATGATCTGGGAAAGCAGCTGAGCCCCAGCCATCCACGTGGGAGACCCAGATAGAGTCCCTGCTAATGTGCCTGGGAAGGCAGTAGAAGATGGCACAGTGCTTAGGCCCCTCACCCACGTGGGAGACCTGGGTGCAGTTCCAGGCTGCTGGATTTAGCCAGGGTCAGTCTTGGCTGTTGAGGCTATGTGAGGAGTGAATCAGTAGATGGAGACCCTCTTTCTGTCTCTGCCTCTCTCTCTGTCTCTGGTTTAGTTATTTCTGATAGACTATTTTACTTCATTTGTGCGTATTTATATTGTAATTACAGTGTCCTAGCAATAAATCTACCTCATACAGCTGTTTAAATTTGGACTACCTGCATTCTCATGAGGACTTCTTCACAGATCAGACTTTCAATAAGCACTCAATTGCATGTGCAGAGAGTATTTCTGGAATGATACAAGAAACTAGGAAGAGGGCCGGTGCCATGGCTCACTTGGCTTATCCTCCTCCTGCGGCGCAGGCACCCCAGGTTCTAGTCCCGGTTGCTCCTCTTCCAGTCCAGCTTTCTGCTGTGGCCCGGGAAGACAGTGGAGGATGGCCCAAGTGCTTGGGCCCTGCACCCGCATGGGAGACCAGAAAGAAGCACCTGGCTCCTGGCTTCGGATCGTCGCAGTGCTGGCCGTGGTGACCATTAGGGGAGTGAACCAATGGAAGGAAGACCTTTCTCTCTATCTCTATCTCTCTCTCTCACTGCCTAACTCTGCCTGTAAAAAAAAAAAAAAAAAGAAAGAAACTAGGAAGAATGACTGCTCTGAGGGGCACTGAGTAAGGGTCAAGGTGACAAGGAATGACTTGTCAGATTTATTTTATTTATTTACAAATCAGAATTACAGAAAGCGAGAAGAGAGAGAGAGAGATCTTCCATGTGCTGGTTCACTCCCCAAATCACTGCAAAGGCCTGGACTGGGAC